ATATATTTTATATATTATATTCACATATTTATACTTTTTAAGCCTTCAAGCCAGGATAGGCTCTAACAGATGAGCTCCAGCAAACCTTGGTGCAGTCACTGTAAGCAGGACTGCAACCACTGTCCATCCTTCTGCCCCTCAGCCAGAGGCTACCCCACTCAGCACAGCTGGCAGCCACCAATGCATGTCCCGGCGTAGACTGTGCCACACACGGTGGCCACAAACTGGAAGGGTTGAGGTGGATGGATGTGTCTTTCCATGAGCTAGCTCTGCAAGGCATCAGGATGGACAGCAGGTGATGTGCGGAACTGCATCAAACCAGTGCAGCACTCACTGACAGACAGCAAGTGAGGACTCCAAATACAGGCTATGGTGAAGCTATGGCAGATGAATTTAAGTAGCCGCCAGTCTGCCCAAGTCAGCCTGGGCCTGCCTGACTCTTAAGCTCCTGTCCTTATTTATCCTGAGGCTGGCAATAAGGCTTCCAAAGATGGGACCAAGTCTAGAAGCTGGAAAGCAGATTTCCAGGGCTCTGGGAAACTTACAGCAATATGCTTTACCACTTAGGTACCAAGGCATTCGTTCTTTACAGAGGAAAGTGCATTAGCACAGATGTTAACATGGAAAAATCATGGGAGGAAAATTACAGGTTTTTTTCTCTATGGCAGACTGACTTCAAGTGCTAAAACATAGTGCATCTACGAGATACCAGAAGTGGAAGAACAGAAGGAAAAGGCTAGGCTGAAAAATACTTGTCAGCATTCCCAGATGAGGTGGTTTCCGACAACTCCAGCACACACAGACACTATCACATTATGAAAACACTAGGCTTCTTATGACTATCACACAACTTTGCAGGATTATTTTGGGTGTCAGTAATAAAAACATAATAAAAAGCACACATATTGTCAACAGCTGAATAGAAGTGCTTAATGTTTTCTTGAAATTTCTGAAATCCTGAATAATCAGGCAAAGCAAAATAGAAGAATCAAAACCAAGCATTACTCATTTTTAATTGTAATTCAGCCACCTGAAACAGAAGAGCCACCCCTAAGTCACTTCCAGCTCTTAAAATACTGCATTACTATTTGTGCTTAATGAATATAATTTCATTTTTTGACTGCTCAAGTTAGAAAAAAAAGAAGAGAAAAAAGAAGAAGAAAAAAAAATGACGTATACCTGAAAAAGTTTCAGTGATAAACTGTGATCTACTATGATCACCTTCTCACCACCACTGCAACAAACGTTTGCATTCCTGGAGAGGCGGAGAGGAGGGCTGCAAGAAGAAGCTGGCAGAGCTCTCCATTGTAACATACAGGATCAGAGTATGGCAGAGCTATACTTCCCCACAGGATGTAGGTTGGAAGCACATCAAAGAGACAATTCATACGTGCCACCTTACACACTTCGAATGTCTATTAAGGCATTTAAGAAACCACAGGTCTACTGCTTGTGCCGTATATGGCAGTCGGCTGTGGCAAAACCCAACAGGTTCTCAGACTCGACATGACCAAGCATCACAGGACAATCTTGAAGGCTGATGCCCAGTAAGCATGAGCTGACACGGCTCCAAAGTAGTTTGATTTTCCAGCAAGTAAGTTCAAGACAACTGAAATCCCCTTGTTTTCGGGGAGCATATCACCAAGGCCCTGTTTGTTCCCAGGTGTATTTCAAGACAGCTCTATTTACAGTCTGGTTACTGGAAATAAACCCTATCTGCTTAAGGTCATGACAGCTCATCTGCTAGAAAAGATGTCAGTGTAAAACAAGCAGAAACAAGCTGCTAAGGCTTACAGCAGTGTCCATGCTTACGAAACTGGACATGAAGGTCAGCAAGACCAAGGCATTTGCTTCAGAGATGATCACGTGGTTTCTGTGTCGATGCCTTCCATGCCAAAGATGTTCCTAAGAGACTCCAGCTTACAATGAAAATTTTGATAAAGCTGAACTGTAGCTGTGCTAGATTGGAAATGTTGGGTACTTCTGCAGTTTCTGTTAACAATGTATTTGGGTACCTCAGTCTTTAATATCCACAAAACATCACCAAACTAGAGAAATACTACTGTCCACCTAATGCCGATGTAAAACTGAGCCAGATATAGCACATACACTTCTCATCACAGCAAATAATGCCTCAGCTTATGGGAGGATGGAAAGGAACCCGGATTTCAGGCTCGGATCAGTCTCTCAGAATTGCAGCTTGTGAGTTTCCTAACATATGACTACACTGACCGCTCACTGTAAGCACAATAGTAGAATTGTGCAGTGCATATGTGCAACGTGCTATTAACACTTGTTTGATATTGAATTATAAAACAAGAGTAAGTATAAGAAAACTTCTTAGCTACATCAAGTGGTAGAAAAGCACAATCTGTCACAAAGTTTACTTTAAAAAATTTTGCAGGCTTTATTTCAGAGATGGACCATTCTGAATTATGTTCTGATAAAGTTCAGTCTGCATTAAGACTGCTGGGCTTTCAGTTCTCTCAAAAGAGAAACACCTCTTTTTTTGCTCAGGTCTAAAGAAGATTTCTGGACTGCATGTGATCGAATAGAAAATTATGGAAAATCCACAGCTGTACAATAGAACATAAGCTTCCAGCTAGTACCAACTGCTGTCTTAGGAAAAAAACTTTCCATGTTAATTTTTTCCCCTTAAAAACTGTGACCTCCATAAGAAGCATCTCAACAACAATAACAAAATCTCAAGTTTTCTGGATGCTTGAAGTGCAAACAAATATATGACCATCCCTCCATCCAGAACTTTCTACAGGTTAAAAGAGAAAAGGAAAGAAAAAAAAATATTACATAAAGGAAGATAATTTTTTATAAAGCCTTCAAGTAAGCGACTTACATAGTTGTCTCTTGCAGACCAGCCTGGATAAAGCTGCATGTGTAGCTGCCTTTCTTTACGAGCTAGTTCATAATATTTTGCTTGTTCTTCACGGGAGAGAGCATGCCACTGCAAACAAAATAAACACAGTATTAGACTAGGAAATAACTCATACCTAGGCAACAGATGACATGAGCAAGTGTTTTTGTGACTTTGATTCAGTCCTTCCCCACTGCAAAAATGAAATTCATTAGCAATTACAAGCACCATGTTTATTAACCAACTTTCAGGCATTTGTCAGCTCTGCAACTGCCAAGTGCGTTGAGGAAGACAAAAATTGCTTATGGAAAAAGAGCTCACCAAATAATCTGCTCACAGAAACATACTCTCCCAAAACGACTTAAAAAACAGAAAAAAACCACCTCCTCAAAATCCCAATTAAAAAAAAAAAACACAAAACCCCCCACCCTTTAACTTCTGACACAACAGGAAGGTTTTGTGTTCCTTTTAAAGGGCAGTCAGCTTCCCACCACAGAAGGATTTGCTGTCTTGGTTTTAAGCAGCAGCTACACACAGTTCTTCAATGCCAACACAGAGTGCTTTCTGGGCACTGGCAGGTTCCTGTTCCAAGATCAACCTTTTAAGTACTGAGCTTCAGGTTCCTTGCTTTCAGATTTCATCTTGTTGTAACAGAAGAAAATGGAATCAGCAAAAAGTTTTTAAGATACAGAAACCACAGGACTGTAGTCTTTCAAATTACACAAGTTGAACTCTGTAGCCAAGTAGGTATAAACTACCTGCTCTTATGTACTTAAAAAAGCAAAACAAAAACATCCTCACAACCTGTGTATTTGAAAAGACACCAGCTACATCAGTATCTAATAATTTTGTTCTTGTGAAGCACCAATCAAAGACCTGAACCAAAAAGAGTAGCATCAGGTTCCACTGCTGCAGCAGCGTGTCTTCTTGTTTGGCTTTGACAACAGGCATGGGGAGTCAGGGGAGCAGAACTCTTTTTTTTCTTTAAAAAAAAAACCAGACATGAAATCATTAAGACACTCATGCAAGAATAATTTACAGAACTAGGATTTCAGATCAGATCAACTTTGTAGGATTTAACGTGTCGTTTTGTTACATGTCACAAGATGTGAACTGAAGGGTTTGTCTGTCTTGACTTGGCAAGTCCAATGTGTGAGTAAGACCACAGCAGTTCAGCCTGTTTGCAACTTTCAAACTCCACACGTGCATTCCAAAACTGGAAGGTAGTGAACGGGATGCCGTAGCATCAGAGAACTCAGCAGCAGCACGCAAAGCGTCCGCTCTTGAGAACAGAGGTGGTTCCTGTCCTGGAGCGGCACAGGATGTAGTAAAGAGTGTCCAGGATGACTGAACACAAAACATTCAGTAATAATTAATCTCCATGTAATTATATTGGATAACTCATGTGTTGTTTGCACCATGGTAAAAGTGGAATTTGAGGTACTTTCACAGAGAACAGTAACTTGAAAGGAGGAGCCCAAGCTGTGGAAAAAGCAGACAATGGGGCACTGAGGCTTGATTCACTGCCAAAATGGAGACAAGCAAGCCACTGCCCTCCTTCAGACCATGAAAAGGACAACATACCAAGCAGCTAAGATCGACTACTGAGGGAGGGAAAATGGAAACATAGTTTTAGAGACTTGCATGAAAGCACAGAAAAGGGAAGCACTGAGATGTCCTTTAAGAGGAGGTAACAAGAACATCAGAGAGAGCAAAAGACTGCAGAAACTGGGACAAGCACCAGTGGGTTCCTGCTCTGTTTGAGGTGGTGGGAGCAGGAGAAGCCTTCAGATTGTAACAGAGAAGGTGCAGTAAAGGTCATGTACAGACTTCCCAGTTAAAAGCACAGGGTTTTCAGGCAGCTGCAGTGCCTCTCAGTATTAACTTAGTGATCAAGAAGAGAGTTTCACTGATCAAGGGAATTTGAGCAGTCCCTACTCAAACTCAGGTTGATATAGAAGGCAACCCTTTTCTCAATTCTGGGGCAAATGGTCAAATTGGCTTTTACCTCTGCTACTTTCCTGTGGAAGAACACTGACAGCGAACATGAAGTTTGTAGTTGTGGACTGGTCTGCCTTTTTTTTTTTTTTTTGAGCATGGAGAGAACAAAACATACCCATAATGCCAAAGAAGTAAATGGCTCTCAGAAAGGCTCTGAATGTGTACCAGGATCATCAGTACTCAGCTGATGACTTTAGATATTTAAAACCTGACTGGACAAGTCCCTGAGCAATCTGATGTAACTGGACCTGCTTTGGGCAGGTGTTGGACTAAACGACCTCCACAGGTTCCTACACAATTTTACAACTGGAACATGTTATATTCACTTTTGAGTTCCATCTCCACTGACATCCACTGTTTATCTTTGAATGATCCCCCCTTGCTCTGATGGACGCCAGCCTAAGGGAGGACCCAAAAGGATCTGAATGCTCCTTCCACGTGTGAATGAGGATATTTTGTGCCTGAGGTGCTGGCAGCATGACATGAGTGGGACAGACACCAATTTGCTGATGTTGCTAATGCTGAGAAAAGAAAATCAAGATATTGCTTTTATTTTTAGTTGCATATTTTATCTTCTATAGCTAATTTGATAGTTGCACATTAGTTAGCACCTCAAGCAGAAAGTGAGCCATCACACCCAACTAGAGGGAAACACAGACAAATTAGCAGCACACGTGAGTACACCCCCCGCCCTGTACATACCCTTCTGCCAAGAATCTGGTTGATAGCTGCGCTTTCTTTCAGAGTACACTCTGCTACAACGTTCGCTCTCATTTCTTTCATGTACAACATGAAAGCATTCAGAGGTTTCTTAATATGAGGTCTTTTTGGCTCTTGTTCTTTTCTCTGTTCGTGCTGAGGCTTCCTAAAACGTGGTGGGGAAAAGGGAAAGGAGAAGAAGAAAAAGCATCCATTTACCTTCAGCCTAAAAAACCCCAACCTAATGGAAAATTACCAACCTGTGGTTACAGTGGTATTTAAATAGTAAGAATGAGAATTTCAGTGGTCATGTCCCACCCACTTTCATATCTTTTCAGAGAATCGACTTAACTTAATACTCTGGGAGGATGCTGGGTTGACATGCTCTAGCAAATAGCATTTGATCCATGAATTCACTCCAAATTCATCACTTGCCTCAACTCCCGTTTTGAAAGGCTATTCCTAGGACCCTAAAAGACCACTGCTACAGGAAGGAGGATAGCTCCTCATCCACTTCTTTCTTAGGCCTTTTGCCTTGGAGAACTAAGCAATAAGGTTGCTTTTTGCTACTGAATTTTGCAGCTAGGACCTTCTCCAGCAGAAGTTTGTGAGTTCTTACTCAAGCAGCATTTACAGGCAGACAGGTCCACGAATATGTCCTAATCAAGATGACTGTTGCCAATAGCTAAAAAGTGCTGGACTGGAATGAAAAATTAATTCATGTCTCATTACTCTTCCCAAACAGTAGCCAACATCTGCTTTTTAGTTATAGTTGAAGAGTCAAAATTCAAAGAGGTCATGAAAGGCTTCTTTTTAAAAAAACCCACTTCCTTGACTCTTCTTCAGATAGAGTTCATTCTCAAACATTTCTAGATTAAGGGCTAGTGCAGAAAGGCAGACTCACACATGCATTAGCTCACTGTCGTTGTGCGGATGTTCTTGTTTTACTTGAGGTGTTACAATAGCTGGGTGAGGGATTCCAGTTGTGTGAGGGCCTGGAGGACCAGGAATCATGTGATGTGAAAACCTAGAAGAGAAAACAAAGGAAGGTCTGTAACCTTACTGAAGACAGGCATCAAGCATGTATGACAGCAGTGGGATGCCCCAAGAATGCAAATGCTACGGAGCTTGCAATGGAAGACAGTTCTTTAAGAGTGCATGAAAAATATTTGGCTAAGATTTGTGCATTCCAGCCCATTTATTCAAGAAAAACAAACACACAAATCAGTCAACATTTTGGTTGTAAAGAAATTATTTTATTACCTTTCAGGCAAACAGCAATGCACACAAGAAACATTTAATGGTTGCACTGTTGCACTGACTAGCAATAAAAATACACATTTCTTAACCAAAAAAATGTATTTCCACACCAAGATATAAACATTCTTAAAATATCCACCACCAGCCAATGCAAAGGAGGGAACTGCCATGCAGAAACAAAATAAAAGAAGAGGAGTCTTTTCAAGAAGGTCCTGATGGTTCTCTAAGGAATCTCTTAGGTTTCAAAGTACTTAAGCTAAAAGATCACACCACATAAACTCACTATCCTTCCTTCAAATGCTTCAAAATAAATATTTAAATCTCTGAATCCTGGAAGAAGGGGGGGAAAAAGAGGAAAAAACCCTTTTGTCCTAAATAAACCTTCCCTGCATTTTTACAAGAAGGAAAATGGAAAAGAACACCAAAGTACCACTAACTCAATCATCCCACCCTACTAACCTAGATCATCCTCAAGGGTAGCTGAGACAGATCTTGGAAGTGCTGAGCACTGCAAGCTCAAGCGCAGCAGAAAACCTGCATGCTATTTTGAACTGGTGGACAGCACCATTAACATCAAAAGCAAGCTCATGCTCCAAAGGTTTGCTAAATGAGTGCTGGTTAAGGAATCGCATCCAACCTCTCCTTTCCATTCCCCAGTTCCCTTGCCCTTTTCCTTCATGCCATCAAAACAAAGCAAACACAAAGCCCTGTAACAAAATCAAGTTATTTTATTACAGAGAAAGAATGGGTTTTCTTCCTTATCTCCATGAGAGGCACAGGCTTATCATTCCCCTGTAAAGAAGTGAAGGGACAGTGATAATCGGCAGAAGCCCACACAAACAGAGACAAGAGGACCCAACACTTATCAAGCAGCCTGTCCCCAGGCCAGAGGATACATCTTCTACAGGCCACACAATAAAAACCAACCCAAGAATGGTATATTGCAACCTTGTGTACACCAAGTACAGGATGCAGAAGCTGTCTTTAGAACGCCAAAGCAGAGGACAGGAGTTCTGGAGTGTGTCACTGCCAAGTCTCAATTAGCATTGCTTGCTTGCACTTAGACATGAAGACACAGCGCCTGATTCACACACCAGTACAAATAAACTGTGCTGGCATCCCTTGCCGTTAGTGGCTTTGTGAGTGCTTTTGTGAGCAAGTTTCCACACAGAATGGCACCTAAATGATTCAAGCCTAATTACCAACAACTTTGAAATTAGAGCAAGAGAACGCAGACTAGAGTGACAATCCACCTGGCTGCATACTTTCGTGAGCAAAACCCAAGGATGCACACTATATGTTGCATCTAGAAATGAACTAACAACTCATTTCAGATGAAACAGCTTGTTTAATTGTTGACAATTCGACGGTGCTCCTTATTGCAGTACTTCAGAGACTGCCAAGAAAATGCTGAATGAGACCAGTGTGGGATCCAGGCAAACTGTACATACACAAATATGTTAAATAAAAATGTACGCATAAAGTTTTAGCTGACTGAAAAGCAAGCAAAGGCAGACCAAGATGCAAGCAGAAGAGCAACTTGCCCTCTAATGCCAGCAGTTACTCCCCAGTCAGTCATTCACCTCCTACACCTACCTGGACATGGAAGGGTCGACTGAGAGTGAGGATGGATAGGGCTGCCTGAATCCACTCGAGATGGGATATACAGGCTGACCTTGCCTGAGGTCACAGAAGAAAGGAACCCATCAATCATACGGTATGGTATCCAATAGTTACTCTAGAGTTACAAGCACTTGATGGGAACTCAGTAGTACTTACAAATAGTAATAGGTAAAACTTTCGAGAGTTCCACTGTATTCAAAGCTATCAAATATTTGAATGCCCCTGGACTTTCTCCCTTGCTATTGAAAGACTCCTGTCTAGGTTTCCGCTGGGGAGGAAAGCAAAACAACCAGCCTTCCTCCCGCAAAGCACATGTGTACGCACACACAAATGTGCATGCACGCAGACTCCTCTATCTCTATCCCTCTCTCATCTAGTTTTAAAAGCACCGGAATCAGATTTGGATAACTAGCTCTTAGGAAAGAGGCATTTTATTCAAAATAGTTCTACTATAGTTCAGCACAAGAACATCAGACTGCAAATTATCAAAGCTAGGAAACCTTTTGAACAGTTTTATTAAGTCTTTGAAAAATTAGGACTCTCTGCATTTGCATCTTCTGTAATGAGGTACAAGTGGCTAACTTTTCTAAGAAAGTTTTTTTGATTAAAAAAAACGCATCCACCTAAAAGCCCACAGCAACACAAGTCCATCTTAACTACTTAAAGTTCAAGTTTTGTAGTAAGAGAAGCTTGTGTGAAATTCTTATCTGCTTTATACTCCCACATATATGGAATATTTTGCCACCAGTCTGTCATTTGGACTCACTAGTTTTTATCATGATCACTACATTCTGGTTACTTTCAGTTAGCAACGATTCAGGTTGCGACTATGGTTACCATCCTGAAGTAGCATGCTGTGGTACTGCAACCAAATACCAGTTCAGCCCAAATACCTGAACCAGCCCAGAAAGATTCACCGCACACATTGATCCTATTCAAACAATTACTTGTTGACTGGCAGATCAGCTTTCAGAGGGGAGGAAAAAAGGGATATTGGCCATTGTAAGGATCAAGATACAGGTTTGACGCTTGGAGTACATTACTGGAAATGAGCAGTGGTCACAGGGAAGGGAGAAAAAAAAAAAAAAAACCAAACAAAAAAGGTGGAGGAAGTCTCAACAGTGCTACCACACAGATGGCAGCTGGAAGGCATACAGCATAGGGGACAGCTGGGTATGTCCCACTGTCAGTGAGTGCTGCTGAGCATATTCCTAGGCCTTATAAGATCAAACCTTGTCTCTCCTCTTCTTCCTCCTTTCCCTTCTCCCTCCCCCCAGCCTCTGCGTTGAGAAGCCTTTCGGAAGAAATGATTGACCACATGTGGAAAACACATGCCAGGAACTGCCTAGTGGTGCTGGATATGGGGAGTCAGCTGAGCAGTAACCAACCGGGAAGAGAGGGGTTGGAAAATAACTTAAAAAAATAGAGAGTCAAATACTTCCATATTTTTGTTTGGTATCTGATAATAATTTCTTCCAAAAAGGCATGTGGCACTTCCTGAAAGATCTGCCAGCAATACATCATTTCACCACTTTCTGCTCTCTGCTTTCTCTGTCTGTTGTCATTAGGATTGTGTTTCCCTCCCATAGACACATTAAAAAAATAAAAAACCTGCATCACTCCTGTGCAGGTACAGACTACTCAAGATAGAGATTTTTAAAGCCAAGTTTCCTTATTCTGTGCTCCGACAGAACTGAGGGCAAGTACCTATCTACTCCAAGGAGACATGGGGCATTCTGTCAAATCAATTACTCTGAAAATATCATGTGTTTCCTCCAAAAAGAAAATGACACCCTCAGTGTCAGAGAGAGATCCTGAGAGTGCTAGCATTAGCAAAAGTATCAAAAACTCCCAATGACAGAGGCTTCTCTCCATACAGAAACTGCAAAAAAAAGGAAACTACAAAAGTTTGTTTTCCATTTGGGTGCAGTTTCAAGATTTCCACATACACACTTCAAAGTTCCTTCTTACCTCTCCTCAGTAATTGCAATTTTGTTTATTAAAAATTTACATTTAATTCCTTGAGAACTGTTTTCTGCTATCTTTCCAAATGCCAAGAGCCACAAATCTGAGCCATAAGAAATATATAGACTTCAAAGTGAAATCTACACACTTCAATTTCTATACGTGTTCAAAAACCAGGTTCAATTCATTTCAAAGATTGTAATTTTTTGATCTTTTTGACTAAAATAACGTAGTAATTTCTCACTGCAGTGACATTCCCATTTTGTAAATTCTGCAATTGATTCAACAACAGTGAATGGTGTGAACATGCACCTTTGTCTGAAAAGAAGCTAAAAGATCTTACCAGCCAAGAGGTGGTGTTATCTGTCCAACCCCCCCTGGAGACAAGGGATAGAAGGTGGGAAGATCAGGAGCTGGAGGATGCCTGGACATGCCTGTTAAAGAGCACAGAAGAATGAATGATTTTCCCCTCAAAATACTACACACGTAAGCTACGGTTCACAGCTAACACGGCCAATGCTATGGCCAATGCTACAATGGAACTAGTGCTCTGGATAAGAAATAACCACCTTCTCAGTGTTGAAAGCAAAAGGCTACCCATGCCACATTAAAAATAATAAATAACTTGTGCATGATATCACAATTCAAAGGGAAATACTGGGGAAAAAAAACAAAGTGGAAGGAGAAGATAAATGTATGGATCTGCGCAAGCTTAGAACTCCTGTAAAGCACGTTAGGCAATACTGTCCTCTCAATGGTTTCACCAAACCCGAAAAGATCCCAAGGACCTCTTCTAACACAGCATGAAACAAGAGGCAAATAAACCGTTGTCAAAGAGGCAGCACAGCAGAGCTATTAGATTAGGTAAATTGCTACTTGTACATTTTTGCGGGTTCCCTTATGGATTCACAGATTTTGGAAACTTGCTACCACAGAGGATCAGTGGTTAATTAAGAATAATTTTCAGGCCTGTAATGGTCACACTTGATATGATTCATTTGGCTTCCAATTGTCACTCCAGCTCCAACTAAGCTCTTCATCAAGTTGACTCCTGTGGGCTCCAAGGTCAATTTGTTTTGCATTTGTAGTATTTCATGGAAAAATAAGAGTCCCATCAGGAATGATCCATCAGCTCACATTCCCCAGAACACAGAGTCCTACAACTGCAAGAATCACCTCAAGATTAAAGCTAATCCTTGTCCCAAAAGGGTCTGTGGTCTCCATTCTTCACCTAAACCTTATGCCCCCAGGAGACACGGAATTACAGTTGCAGAGGCCACAAAGACATCGGTTTATTTAAATGTGTTTGGGAAAGAGGGGGCTGAAGCAGAAGGAATTGTTAAGTCTACTTCACATGTTAAATCAGCTGCTTTAAAAGGGTATTAAATATTCATGTGGTGACACTCCAAAGGTCCAAGACTGAGTGTGTGCTACCTTGAGACTTGGTCTATAGATTGATGGTACTGATTTATTCCCCTCCCCTGCCAGTTTGTATTTAAATCTTCTGAATTTAATTACAAGATTTGAAGAATATCTTTCAGGACTGTGTACAGGAAAGGATGGAAGACAAGTCTGGTGGTGTTACTGTCTCAGTAAAGCTGAATTCTCAGACTTGGGACCACAACCTCAGTGAGAATCAGATTTCTGGTCAGTTGTCTTTTCAAAAGAGCTCGCAGATGACAAGAGAGCGAATGCTTCATGTATCCCAGGGTTTTTATGTGCTCTTTCAGAGCAGTTTACAAAGGAAAAACACAAAAGTGAAAAACAAGCCCAGGATCTCATCTCTCTCATCACTGGTCATAGCTGATGCTCTTGTGAGTGATGACACACCATGCCCTGGCCAGACCAAGTTCTGAGCAAGGAGCTGGGCCACTTCTTCCCCAAAACCCATGGAGACAAGACTGCTCTCTCTACACTAACGCACAGTGCTTATCTCTAGTCCAAAACTTCTGGCCCCTTACAGGGAGCTGCCAGCTAACTAATGGCCAGCAGGAACACGCACAGCTATTGTATGGCCAGTACCCTCCAGAGTAAGTTTTTTCTCATGAGAGGGTTAAGAAAAAAATAAAATAAAAGGAAGGAAATAAGGGACTGCCTTTAGCAAGGTGGTAGTTGTGTCCCACAAAGTGCCTGGGGTGCAAGAAGCAGCGCTGCAGGCAAGCTGCTGCAGACCCCCTCATTGGGAGATTTTGGCAGGAGGAGGGCACTCTGGCATCAGGGCTGGGGCGCCAGGGCAGTGCCTTGTTCCAGACCCACAGTGGGAGGCGAGGACAGAAACAATGGTCGGAGGCGTTTGGCAAAGGACTTGAGGGAAACAAGAAAAAAAAACAAACCTCTTTTTGCAGCAACTGCATAGGCCACTTTGCTGGGGCTGCTCCCACACGCCAGCGGCACTGAGATGGGGAGTATAGAAAGACCACACACATCAGGGAGACCGTCACAGCCAAACCCATAAGTCTCCAGCCTGCCTTATCCATTCTCATCTTTGCCAGACGCTGAGCAAAGGGATCAAGAGCCTGTTCAGGAACGCTGGAGGGGCACAAGCTCTGTGCCAAAGAGCCCCTGGCCATTCCCTGGAAGAGCCCCTCATCAGGCTTGTGCTTGAGGATGGGAATGTGCACTGGTGGGGTGCACTGGGGCTGGGCAAGGGAGAGAGCAAGAAGAGGCAGAAGGGAGGATGTGCAGCAGAAACAACAAACCAGATGTCATTCAGTTTGGGTCTGATAGGAATACAAAAATAAAACAGGGGTAAAGGGAAAGAACTGGGACATAGGAGGGCAAACCCATCCTGCATTAAGTGAAAACGTCTTGAGCTCATGAACTGCAGCAGTGAGATGTCTTCCAGCCATCACAGACAGCTTGGGCAAGAGGTGAAAATCCTGTTCTCTCACCCGCAACACTTACCCAAACTCCAGCTTAGACCCATGCTGGCCAGAGTCAATTCTCTCCTTGCCGCCCCTCTAATGACCATCATGTACCCGTGTCAGCTCCTGTATCTCAGTACAGGCAAGAACATCCTTCCCAGCAAACTGGAAGTGCTGGCTGGGAGCTCTCGGCGCAGGCTGGGCTCAGCATTTCAGAGGCTGTGGGCGCTTCCCTAGGGGACCACAGAATGACCCAGAATGGGGCTGCTCTGATGCTCCCAGATGAGGATGGGGCTTTTTGTTTGTTTGTTTTAAGGAATGCCAGAGGTGCAGAAAAACACGATACCCACAACTCAGACACCTTGAAACAATGCTTTCTGCAGAAGGCAGCGGGGACAAGAAGGTTAAAACAATGTCATGTTTGCAAAACCTTAATTTGCTCAAAATTGTATTTTATGGGCTATGCTTCAGTTATGCCAACTGAAGGATGGAAGAATTCAGACAGCCAGAATACAAGAACAAAAAATACCATTTTGAGTAAATGGAAAAAGATAAGGTTTCAATAACACTGCTACTGAAGCACCCTTCTTCTGTTTTTGGGAAGGTGAAGGATGATTGCCATTCCCGCATCTGCGTGCTGGAAGCCTCGGGCACCACAGGGGATGGTGAGGTCTGGCTGCTGCTTATTGAGATTTTAAAAGATTTTGACGAGTAAAGCAAGCCCGAATTATCACATTAGAAAGAGCACGAAGATTTAAACAGCCAAGTTAAATATCAGCATCATGGCAGAATTACAGTCTCTGAAAGCAGGCATGCATGCCTGGAACCGTCCCTTTAAAATATTCCAAATAAAGCTCTATCAGCTGACTGGGGGCACCGGGACCGCTCTGCATCCCCACCATGCTGGGACAGGACGGGCTCACCTTGTTTGGAGCTGACGTCAGAGGGGATGTGAGATGGGTGCGACCCAGGGGAAAAGTGCTCATCGCTGTAGGTGATAAGAGGGGTGAGGGGGTGAACCGCATGAGAAGGCTGTACCACTGGCACCTTGTTTGACTGCAAGAGAAGAAAAAAAAAAATTAAAGTGTTAGCGAGGTGGGGCTTCTGCATTAAAAAGAAAAAAGATACTTCTGAAATGCAATTTTTTACGTATTTGTATTACTGAAGCAGAGGAATGGATGGACAGACATGACATCAGGGCTAGTGGATGGCACTCAGGTTTAGTGGCAGAATCAGCATCCTTGAAGAGGAAAGGTGTTTGGGAGACATAGACAGGTCAGGGAAGGGACTGCTGGAGACGCACAGGGCAGGAGAAGCACCTCACTGGGCAGGCAGGCCCCGGGCACCCAAAGGACAACAGAGCCAACAGCAGTACTGATGAAACCCTTTGGTTATGGGATCAGCACTAAAAAACCCCAAAGGTTTAAAATGTAGGTTTGCCACATCTCCAGGCCTAAGAGCAACATGAGCTTCATCGACTTCACTCCTCTACTGCTTTCCTGCATGGTCACAGCACAGTAGGCTTTTTGTCTTGGAATATTGCAAACTCTGGTTGAAATGTCTTGATCTATATGGCAAGTAACTGAAAAACCACCCTTAAAACCTGATTTCATACATAAGCAGTTGGTAGTGGCTTCTCAGAGGGATCAGTTCGGGAGGAGATGTGATGATCACCTGGGGATGGCTGGGATGCCTCTCAAAGCATCACGTCGAGGAAAAATGAAAGTGTTACAAACACCCAGGAGGATTCCGAAATGGGTGCTGTCAGATGGCATCCACGCAGGCCAAGACACACATTTCCCATCAGCACTTCCTGCAGAGGCACGGGGGAAGAGGCATTCGGCATGATGCCACCCAAAATCACCCTTTTGGACCAAGGCTGCAAGACAATGGGACTTGTCTGTTCTGGCGATGCTGCCGTATCAACGCTGCTTGAAACACAAGCTGCTCTTCCTGTGGTGGGACGAGCTGTAGTGAGGATGTCAGCATGTAAGAGGCACTCCTCATTTGTATCCCACCACTCTACCTTGTCCCTTAGCAAAAATAATTCCGGCACAAACAGGTTTTCAATAAAATTAAAATTAAAAAGGCCAAAAAAGCTGTCCTTCAGACAGAAACACTTGACAAAACTCATCAAAGACTGTTAAATACAAGGAATTTTAAAAAGTAATAAATTAAGAGCCCAATGAAATTAATTTTCTTCGAGTTCACTATTGAAATCTCAGCACAAACAGACATTCAGGTACAAACCCAGGATTTCACTGGACTTCTGGAAGCAGAAGGGTTATTAAATGGACAACTCCATTTATTGTTAAGGCCGGTAGGACTAGAGGAAAGGGAGCAAATGGGAACCAGTGCAGCATTCTCTGCTTGCCTTGTTTCCAGAGCACCACCTTAAGGAACTTGCATTAGCAGGCAGTATCTTCTTAATGTCTGACCTATCCCTCCAGTCATATAGCTCAGAATCTGGTGCCATGAATTTTTGCTAAATTATGCTATCCTTGCTCTCCTCTTAATTTTACGGTTTTCAACACAGATTTGCTTTCCTGTGGGAAAGAGATAAGAACCTGAGGATTTTAATTTAAGCTTTGGCCTTGTCTTATATTTTGCAAGATGGAGAGAGAAAGCAGCGCTAGTAGGTGTTTTAAAGCCAACAAGCATTAGGTCCATTTTTGTGACCAAATATTAAAAGCAATATGAATTCTCAATAATATCTATGAGTTGAGTTGTAAAGGGGACAGCTTATTCATCTTCCCTGTCCGTATAAATCCAACAAAAAACAGATGCCAACAAATTTCAGGCGATTTACAAATCAGGCCTCAGTCTTCAGCTACGAGACTTGCGGGGCAGCCCACCATTCAGCAATTACTTTATCAACAATAAACTGTGTATTACGAATAAAGATCAAGCAATAGATGTATTTAGGTCACACACATGCAGCTGCTAATCAGCATTAATTTCTCAAAATTTAGTAATTAACATTTTGTATTATACTGGATGTAATTGTCATGCACGCCCCTGGTATCAGGGTTACTTGCATTCATAAATCACCCATTTGTACTTTGAGCAAGCCAATCCCCACACTGCCTCGCTCTCCAGCATCCTGCAGATTTTATTTTATTTTCTAATTCTCAGCACCTTATCCCCTAAGCCCACGGCAGCGGCTTTCAACGGGCAAAGGAACCGTGAGAAGTCAGAAGAAAAGCAAACCGCTTGTCAGTGGGCTTAAAATTAACATATAAACGGGCTGTATCTCCATTAAGAGCATTTGAGGGTTTGCAGAGCCAGAAACTGGGGGAAAAAAAATTAACAACAAATAACGACAGTAATAAAAATCTTTCCGGCCTGCCTGCACCACACTGCTTTGGGAGGACCTAGGGAGCTCTGGCAGCCAAATCCTGCTAGGCACCCAGGTGTGCCACTGGATGGGAGGTTAGTGGCCACAGGCTGAGCTTCCTCATTCCCTGTGGTCCTACCACGATGGCCCCAATGACTGACTGGTTTAGGCCAGGCTGGATGGGATTTTGAGCAACCTGGTCTACTGGAAGCTGTCTTTCTGGAACTACATGATGTTTAAGGTGCCTTCCAACCCAAACCATTCTATGATGGGGAGAAAAACAGGGCAACATGTGCAAAACTAATGGTGCATACAGCTGCAGAAACACTTGAGTGAGTGACAGAGATCTGAACTCAGGGTCAATATGATGTCCGTGCAGGGGGAATTTGGTCCTCCGTGCCTCATTCAGCACCTGGCAACCAAGCCATCAACCACCACGGACCTTCTGGCATACCAGTGACATTGACATCTAATACAGGCATGGTTCACGGGACATCTTTTCTCCTCGACATAACCTTAAAAATTTCTGCACAATTCGTTCAGTCCACACCCTTTCAGTGAGACAATTAATTACCCATTGTCCTATATGAGGTTCTTCAATATTTCAGTACAGAAATTATACTTCATCTACCCAACAAAACACAGTATTTTGGTGAAATTTTACCTAAGCAGCTTCTAGAAACACAATAAAGCAGACGAGGATTTCCAAGACAATCTGAAGCGGATGTTTGTTGAAATGGTTCCTAATGCAGCTCTGTGCATGGTGTACTACCACACCACATCAGCTTAGTCTCCTTCATTAAACTCTGGGCCTAAGCTTCTTCACACAACCCGGAAAGCAAAGGGAATTGAACGCAGAGCCTAGCTCGAGATCTGCAATTTGGAAAAAATAAAAACTAAAAATGCGGACCTGTGGTTTACAAACATAATAATCTGCTGTTACGCTTTAAGGCACCTTGTTACGCATGTGTCATAACTGCTAATGTTCACAATGGGTTAACAGCAAAGGGATCACCCACAGCCTGGGGAGACCCCGCTCTACCCCATGGGACCCACCTCAAATGGACACTTGCTCATGAGTGACTAAACCTGAGTGACCTCTTTTTCTAAGGCCACTGGCCCACCAGGGCTCCACTCCCACTTTTCGGACATGCAGCACAACCTCAGGGGAGCACCCTTTGGGAACTGGCCTTGCACACAAGGGACCTCTCCCAGCCCTCCCCAGGGCACTTCTGCTGTTTGGACCTTTGCTCATCTGCTCAGCTGTATCTTTTACTTCTCCTCTGCACACAGTCAAGCTGAGGTGAGGCAGTGCAGGCAGGGGACAGTCCCCTGAAAGAACACCGACAGGGCGAACAGGCAGGGCTGGGAGAATATACATGTACTGGAAACAGCAGGAGCTGAATTATTTTGCCAGTTAGTGCCAGGATGAAGCTGCTATTCAGTTTTATGACTGACCTGAAAAAAATAAAACCAAAATACCTAATGAAAAGTTCGTGAAAAAAGGGTACAAGCTCGCAGGAAAGAAGACCCTGATCCAGCAGTAGGCATCACCCCAGCAGGTGCTCACCATGCACTGGAGACCGGTTTAATTATTGCCGTGTTAAAGTAATGCAGGAACAACGTCCCATGTCGGTACAAGAGCAAACATTTCCCTTGCAAACAGCAGTCATGATCAGCAAGTGATATGACTTGAACTGTACTCAGGCATCTTGGGCAGGGCAAAGACAGAGGAGCGGAGGAAGGTGAGGAAAAATCCCTTGGCCCCGGCATTGGCACAGCTGCTGCCAGGTGGCTGGGTAACCCCTGCAAGAGCTCTGCACCGGCAATGCCGTACCTGGATTTGCAGAGTTACTCACCGTTTTAAACACGCACCTGTCCTCTCATCCGACAAGTACGCTTTGAGACAGTTTAAATTAATCTCTGGTGAGTTGACGGTGAAATACTGCATCTCAGATTTGGATGGAATCCAGGAACTTTTCCTTTATTTTTGAAATGCTTCTGAAGAAAAGCAAGACTACCAGAGAAAAAACAAAACCCAAGCTCCTCCCAAAGAGCTAGCTATGCCTTCAGTGAAGGCCTGCACCTACAAGGTATCCTATATGCAACAAATGTGCAAAAACTATAAAAAGCCTGAGACAGCCATGGCAAAAATGCCTGTGGGTCAGCTCCAGGCAAGGCGGGTGGCTGGGAGCTCCAGCTGGAGCTGGGGACACCATTTGTTCCAGCTGCTACACAGAGAAAGATATTAAATTAACGACCCTTCAAAGGATGTGTGTCTAGAAAGGCAGTCGCAGACAGGCCGGGAGGTTTGCAGGGAACAGTGAGCAAGTTGGGCCCCTGCACACAAGACCCAAGAATCCCTGGGTCAACACCCAAAGAGGTGCTGGGTTGTTTGGTTTCTTTTCAATTTTCCTCTTCTCTTTAAAGACAAAGCTGCTTCTAAAAAGTCAAGAAAGCCTCCAGCCTGTCTACTTTTCTTCTGCTTTCAACGAGTTGTGTGTTTGGTACAGGCACTAGCAGATGGTCTTCCCAATTCAGTCTAAAATAAGCCAATTAAAAAAAACCAACACAACAAAACAACCACCGAAACTTAAGGACAAGAAACGCATGAATTCCCTTTTCTTCCTGAAAGAGAATGTCATTTCAAAAAAACATGGCTTCAAGTTTTTGACAGAGAATATTAAATTCAGGGGGATAACCACAACAGATAGCTCCT